AAGGAAATCTTGCCATTTCCAACAATGTGGTTGGATCTAGGGTGTATTATGGTAAGCGAAATATGTCAGTCAGGGAAAGACAAATACCATATGATTTCACTCATACGTGGAATTTAACAAACAAAAACATGAACATATGGGAAGGGAAAAAAAGAGGAAGAGGTTATCAAGCCATAACAGACTCTTAACAGTAGAGAACAAACTGAAGGTGATTGGGGGAGCTGGTAGGGGATGAGCTAAATGGGCAATGGGTATAAAGGAGGGCACTTGTCGTAATATAAAGGAGAGCACTTGTCGTGATGAGCACCGGGTGATATACGTAAGTGATGAATCACTAAATTCTGCATCTGAAACGAGTTTTACCATATATTTAAATATAAACCTGGGAAAAAATAATCACTGTTAACAGCTGGTAGTCATACTTTCACATTTTTCTCGGTGTGTGTATATATATATTTACATATATTCTCTGCACACTTAAAACATGGTTATAATTTATATTATTGGTATGATGCTGTTCTGTCTCGTTTCTCACAAGCATATATTATTGGCTTCCTTCCATATTAGTATAGATCTGCATTATCATTTTTAAAGCCTGCGTAGTAACCCATTGTGTGTGCGTGTACACTTAACCGGCTTTCCTAGTGATATTTATCTTGTTCTAGTTTTTTGCTGTTGTAAATAATGCTTTAATGAATGTTCTAGTGGCAAAGCTTTTTAAATTTTTGCATTTTCTTAGAGTAAATCACTAGAAGTGGGATTGTTGAGTCAAAAGTCATATAGACCGGGGTGCTTGGGTGGCTCAGTGGGTTAAGCCTCTGCCTTCGGTTCAGGTCATGATCTCAGGGTCCTGGAATCAAGTCCCGCATTGAGCTCTCTGCTCAGCAGGGAACCTGCTTCCCCCTCTCTCTCTGCCTGCTTCTCTGCCTGCTTGTGACATCTCTCTGTCAAATAAATAAAATAAAATAAAATAAAATAAAATAAGTTTAAAAAGTCATATAGACATGTATGTACGTATGACTATACCTATGTATCATAAATATGGATATATCAGTCTGTAGATGTTTACAAACAGCGTTTAAGAAAAATTGCATTGATACGCATTTTTACCAACACTGCCTAAGTAAAGTTCTTACATTTCTCAACCTTTTACTTATATTCTCCTTTCCAACAAATTTGTTTTCTTTTCTTTCCTTTTCTTTTTCTTTTTTTTTTTACGGTTTTGGAACACATAAAAGTCAAACTGTTAACTGAGATGGGAGCATAGGGCTCTGTCAGGCTAGGTCAATACAACTTTTCCTGTAGGATGACCATCTTCTAGAACTGTTCTTTCAGGAGCCGAATGTAGTTGGGAATATGGTCTGCTTCAGTGGCTTTGCTATCTGGCCATCCAGTTTGCTCCCACAGTGCTGACCTCACATGGGGAATGAGGTCAAGACAAGCAGTATACAAATGATTATTTACTTGTAGACAGAGGAATTAATTAGGAGGAAAAAAATGTCCAAGATAACTACTAGCATGCCAAAACTTCAAAGATGGAAAGCTGTGGCTTGTAAAGTAAGCATAAGACAACATATCGTACTTGCAAAGTTAGGGATTTATTGGAAAGTTGGATTATAGGGCAGTTACGGTTCACTCAAAATTAAAAAAAAATCTGATCAAACAATGAAGTACAGCATTTTAATGATGATCTGGAGGACAAAAAACACCTTACACGGATATATTCCCAAATTTGAAACTCAGAACACTTCTTTTTTGGTAGTTTTTGGACTTATTTTTCCAACAGCTATTTGGTTTAATGGTTTAGGAAGTGAAATTATCTTTTACATGATGACATTACTATATTTTTGCTTACAAATTTCCTCAGATGGAGTAGGCAACAAGAGGACTGACTGTAAAATTGTACCTTTTAGAAATCAGGAAATGTGTATTCATGATATTGCAACTAACATAGGTAAGAATTGTTACAATATGCATCTTCTTATAAATTTCTAACACTTGCTCAGGAGAATTTCTTTCATTATTCCCTTTATGCTTATAGTTCTAAATTTTCAGCAATTACCCTCCTCCTTCATCCAATTCCAGAGGATTTTCCGGGATTATAGAAAACTGTATCAAGTGTTTGCAAGCTATTGAAGATGTATTTTTGACTGAGTTCTGGAGTTCTTGCACTTAAATTGATGGTGCTAGATTTAATAGTGGAATTTGTAGCTTCTACCAGGCTTCTTCTAAATAATACTACAGTAGCAAAGTACCTCATAATGGGGGTGGTAGAGCAGAGTCAGAAGAGCCAGGTTCCAGCTCTGTTTCTGCAGAACATAAGTTATGTCACTTTGGATCAGTCCCTAACATCTCTGCTTCATGATTGTCAAGAACAAGAGATTGAATTGGTGACATAATAGAGACCCTTCAAATATGAACTTGTATGAAAATAATTTATGAACTTATGTAAAACAAGACCATATATATATATATATATATATATATATTTGCCAGCCTTTTTTTTTTTAAACATTTTTTATTTATTTATTTGACGGAGAGAGATCACAGTAGACAGAGAGGCAGGCAGAGAGAGAGAGAGAGAGAGAGAGGGAAGCAGGCTCCCTGCTGAGCAGAGAGCCCGATGCGGGACTCGATCCCAGGACCCTGAGATCATGACCTGAGCCGAAGGCAGCGGCTTAACCCACTGAGCCACCCAGGCGCCCCTATTTGCCAGCCTTTCTTACTTGCAAAGGCAAACCTTAAGCCTTAAAAAGATTGGGTCACTACATACAAAGAGTACTAAAATGATATAGGAATTAACAAAAAGTCATCAGAGGCTCTCTTTATTGGTGATACTGTTAACCTTAAAAAATAAAATTGCCAGGGGCACCTGGGTGGCTCAGTGGGTTAAAGCCTCTGCCTTCGGCTCAGGTCATGGTCCCAGAGTCCTGGGATCGAGCCCCGCATAGGGCTCTCTGCTCGGTGGGGAGCCTGCTTCCTCCTCTCTCTCTCTGCCTGCCTCTCTGCCTACTTGTGATCTCTGTCAAATAAATAAAAAAAAAAATAAAATAAAATTGCCAGTTATTTCACTAGCAAAAGTTGGGTTAATTTGGGAACAGTAGGGAATTACAATGTAGGACAAGCAAGCTACCTCAAAACCATAGGCAAGTCTAACAAACAAAAGTGAGATGCATTATTTTATGGAAGAGAAACTTGGGAGCAGTTGCATCCTTCTTTTTTTTTTTTTTTAAGATTTTATCTATTTATTTGAGTGAGACAGAAAGAGTATGTGGTGTGGGGATGCGGAGGGGCAGAGGGACAAGCAGACTCTCTGCTGAACAGGGACCCTGACCCAGTGCTTGATCCAGGGACCCTGAGATTATGACCTGGGTGCAAAGCAGATACTTAACCAACTGAGCCATCCAGGTGCCCCAGGAGGGGTTGTTTCGGATAAAAGTCAGTTGGAGAGAAGCAAGAGTTCAGGGTGATGAAAGTTTCTCATCACCTGAGCTGCAGGGGTAGTGGATTTCTTATAGGAAATGCAATGTACTGCTTTTCCTGTTGGGGCCTGTAACTGATGATTCTTTCCCCTTGAGACTTTTCTGTTAAGGGTCCGTAATTTGCAATTCTTCCTGTGATTGATATTGATTGCTAAGACTCCCTAGCTTCCCCTTCTAGCCTTTCCAGTCCCCTTGAGATTTCCCTTTAATGTTCAGGATGCACAGAGAAAAAGTTCAAAGTACATCCCTACATCTTAAATCCTTAAGAGCGTGCTGATTAATTACAGTTCTCCATACTTCATAGCCAGCATCTCTGTAAGCTCAGGCATTTGGTCTTGTGTCTTATATAAGACCAAAGGGGGGTGGAAAGGGGCTGAAAGGGTTTTAATTATTATTTAGTTCAGATCAGTCATTTCGTAAGGCTCAAGGGTTGAGTCTAAGTATCATAGTATTTCTTTTTTTTTTTTTTAAAGATTTTATTTATTTATTTGACAGAGAGAGATCACAAGTAGACAGAGAGGCAGGCAGAGAGAGAGAGAGAGAGGGAAGCAGGCTCCCTGCTGAGCAGAGAGCCCGATGCGGGACTCGATCCCAGGACCCTGAGATCATGACCTGAGCCGAAGGCAGCGGCTTAACCCACTGAGCCACCCAGGCGCCCTCATAGTATTTCTTGAAGGGTGCTCAGCAGTTTCTGGACTAGCTGTCTCTGAATTTGAAGGGACTTTCTAAGGGATGAAAGGAGGCTCCCCGTGAATAACTTGACCAAAAAAAGAATGCCATCTCAGATGCAGAGACGGAGGGCGTGACACTCCAACGCCGAGTTTACTCTTCACTGCCCTCTCCCCGCCTTCCCGGCACGATTTGCAGCTGGGTAAGTTAAGTCACTCGACGGGCATCCTGGCCTCGCGCTTCGAGCACCGGGCGGGGCAGTTACGGGCGTCCAGACACAGGCCGGCCGGACTCAGGAACCTGTAATAATGTGGGGGGGCTCCCTCGGACCCTCCCTTGAGACGCCTGCGGACTGACCTTGAAAAGACTGGAATCTGCCCACGCCTGATTTAGGTGCAAGTCCTACTGGTCCGCGCGCGGGGTCGCCTCCACAGAAGGGCGACGGGCGTTCCCGGGCAGGTGTAACCGCCGCGCCCGGCCCCGCCCCCGCCGCGGGTCAGGACACTGATGGGCCCGTGAGGGCGGGGTCGGAGGAAAAACTGGCGGCTCCTTACGCTCCTCCCGTTGCCTGGTGACGGGGAGGAGGCGGAGCCAACGAGCTAAAGGAGGCGGGGTCTGCACGGAAGGGGCAGGCGTCAGAGAGGCGGCCGCGCAGCCGCCCTTGCTTCTCTCCCGCAGGCGCGCCCGGATCCGCGCCTTGCTTCGCCCCCGCCCTGGAGTCCGTCGTGCGCACGCGCGGACCGAGTGGCCCCCTCCGCCCCTCGCAGGGCTCGCGGCTGGGTTCGTGTCCGGCACCCGGGCAGATATTGTAGGAGACGTCCGGGAGCCGGTGAACCGAGCGGTCTCGAGGGAGGGCGCGGGAGGTCGGGCGCTGGAAGAAGGACCGCGGGGGGCGGCTGCCGTGTCCACCGTGGCTGCGGAAAATGGTGTTCGAGTCGGTGGTCGTAGACGTGTTGAACCGGTTCTTGGGGGACTATGTGGTGAACCTGGATACGTCCCAGCTCACTCTGGGCATCTGGGGAGGTAACGAGACCGCCGCCGCCCCTCAATCTCGTTTTCCTTCCGGCGCCCGGTTGCCGGAGCCCTGCTTTGCTTTCTCGGGGCCTCGGCCCCTCGCTTGCCGGGCGCCACCACCTGCCGCCGCCCGCCTCGGGGTTAAATTACGTAAAACCAGGCGGCAGTTCTCAGGGCCTGTGCCCGCCAGTTGTTTGTATTCTGTCAGGAGGGTGCTCGGGGGGGGGGGGTGCGGGATGAAAAGCCCCCCTTTTCCGAGCCGGGCGGCAGAGGGGACCCGCTGCGGACTCCGAGGGCGTGGGGGGCAGATCTCGCCCAGGCGCCGTTCCCAGCCCGTCGCCCCGAGCTGTCCCGCTTCAGGTGTGCGGGGCGTGGGGGAGGCCCCGAGACGCCCCCGGGGTCATGTTGTACCCCCTTGGGTTATGACGAAGGCTCGGGAGAGCCCACGGAGGGGCGCACGTTGCCTCGCACGTGAAGGCAAGGCACCGGTGACCGAAGACGTCCTCTCGCTTCCCTCCTTCCCCAGCCGGGGCGTGTGGCTAACCGTGGTGTCTGCTCGGCTCCCCTCTGCGGCCACGCCGGCCGGATTCGGGTTGCTGGCCTGGCTTCGGCTGATAACAGAAAGCGAAACTCCTGCGTACGATCAACTCAAATGATTGGCTGTTTTCAGTTCACAACCTGACCCAGGAGTGGGTCACGCTTGCAAGGCTTTGGGATTTTGTGGGTCAGAGTGATTGCTTTTTAAGAAACGAGGTGCGCTGTGCAACGACTCAGACCTACAAAAGACGGGGAAGAACGTGCGCTTAGATTGCTTAGATGGACCAAAGCTTTACTTTGTATCCGTGTACTTCGGCGCTCTGTCTTATTTGGAGAGTTATTATTAGTGCTTTCAGATGTTTTGTGTTCTACCCTTCTTTATCTTAAGCACCCGTTGTAAATTAGATTCCTTTCTCCTACGAGGTGAATCTCCTAGGCCAAAATTAGGGTTATTTATTTATTTATTTGGACTTAACTGTTACTTTGTACACACTTTCAGCCCTCTTCTGAGATACTCGTTTATCTTGATTTTTCTCCTTTATGGAAGAGTGTGAGTAGATAATTAGTTTGATAGAACCTCTTGTTACTGCTGTTGGTGTCAAGTACCATGACAGAACATGAACTTCCTGCAAGAACTACGGACGTGGGTGCCAGCTCTGCATCTCTGACCCGTATCAGAAACTTGAAGATTGTTTTATTTGTTTTGCTTCTCATTTGCAGAGTAAAAATAATACTCTTTGTCTTCACACACCTCAGAAGGAAGCTTTGAAAACATTTTGTAGTGTGCTTTGATCTGTAGTGGAAGGTTGCTTCTGCATTCCAGGCGGGGGTCTGTGTAGAGTGTGATTTATCCATGAATTTATTTAAAATTTGTATACAGTAAAATTCACTCTTGTGATGTACGGTTCTGTTTTTTTTGACAAGTGCAATGTCAGGGAAAGTATCCACTATTACAGTCATTCCAAAAAGTTCCATCGGGATGCCAAAATTCCCTCTACAGCCCCTTTTCAGTCTACCCTTTCCAGCCCCCCATTTCCTGGATACCACTGATCTGTTTCCATCCTTACGTTTTGTCTGATCATCTGTCCTTTCTTCCTTTCAAAATATTTTATTTATTTATTTGACACACACACACACACACACACACACACACACAGAGAGAGAGAGAGAGAAAAAACGCACAAGGAGGCAGAGCAGCAGGCAGAGGGAGAAGGAGAGGAAAGGGAGAAGCAGGCTCTGCACCGAGCAGGGAGCCCAGTGCACCGCTCCATCCCAAGATCCTGGGATCATGACCTGAGTGGAAGGCAGAAGCTTAAGGGACTGAGCCAGGGAGGCGCCCCAGTTTTGTCTTTTCTAGAGTGCCATATAAATGGAATTATATGGTAGCTAGCTTTTGGGGGTCTGATTGCTTTTACTTGGTTTCACTCTTTTCACTTGTTACGTAAAGTGAATTTGAGAGTCACCCATGTGTTGCATGCACCAGTATTTCATTCCTATATTTTTTGAGTGTTTTTTTTTTTTTAAGATTTTTTATTATTGGACAGAGAGAGAGCGATCACAAGTAGGCACAGCTGCAGGCAGAGAGAGGGGGGAAGCAGGCTCCCTACTGAGTAGGGAGCCCGATGCGGGACTGGATCCCAGGACCCTGAGATCATGACCTGAGCCAAAGGCAGAGGCTTCACCCACTGAGCCATCCAGGCGCCCCGTGGTATTTTTTATATGGATGTGTTATAAATGTTTATCTGCTGGTTTCCCTTTCTGGCCATTACGAATAATAGAGCTGTTAATAAACATTCATGTACAGTTTTTTTTGTGTGAAAATAAATTTTTGTTTCTCTTGGGTTAATGCCTAAAAGTGGGATTGCAAGGTTTTATGGTAAATGAACATTGAACTTCTGTGAAACTATGGAGCTGCTTTTCAAAGCACCTGTACCATTTTGCAATCCCACCAGCATTGTATGAGTGCATAGTTGCTCTGCACCTTCACTAGCATTTAGTATTGTCATTTAAAAAACTTTTTTTAAGCCATTCTAATAGGTATATAGTGCTAAAGTATTGTGGTTTTAATTTGCATACCTTTATTGATTAAAGATGTTGAGCATCTTTTCATATTCTTTGCTGTTTATATAGTTCCTTTGGTGAAGAGTCTGTTCAAATCTTCAGCTTATTTTAAATTGGCTTTTTTCCCTTTATCTGTTGAGATACCATTAAGTTTACATACCATTAAGTTTACATACCATTAAGTTTACCTTTTTTACCATTAAGTTTACATACCATTAAGTTTACCTTTTTAAAAATGTTACTTATTAACATAGTTGACATACAATGTTATATTAGTTTTAGGAGTGTAACAGTGATTCAGCAATTCTAAAGGTTATGAAATGCTCACCATGATAAATGTTGTCACCATCTGTTGCCTTACAGCATTATCACAGTATTGACTGCATTCTCTCTGCTGTATTTTTTCTCTTGAATTCACCTTCTAAAATGTACAATTAAGTGTTTTTTATTATGGTCACAAAATTATGCAACTATCACCACTAATTCTAGAACATTTTCAACACCCCCAAGTAAACCCCCATCCATATCCATTAGCAGTCACTTTCAAATTCTCTGCCGATCTCCCGAACCCCACCTCCAGCAATTACTAATCTACTTTATGTCTCTAAGATTTACCAGTTCTGGACATTTCACTTAAATGCAGTCATACAGTGTAGATGGACTTTTGTTTCTGGCTTCTTTCACTTTAATTTTTTGAGCTTCGTATTGTAGCATGTATCACTTTTTAATGACAGAGTAATAATCCATTGTATGAATAGATCACATTTTGTTTATCCATTCACCAAGTTGTCATTTAAATTATTCGTACTTTTTTGGGTTTTATGAGGAATGCTGCTAAGAACATTCATATATACAAGTTTTCTTGTGGGCATATGTTTTAAATTTTCTTGGTATATGCCTAGATGTAGAACTGCTGAGTCAAATGGTAACTCTGACTTCTAGAAAGGAACTGCCAAACTCTTTACCAAAGTATTTTCTTATTGTTAAGTGTTGAAAGTTCTTTACGTATTGTGGGTATGAGTCCTTTGTCAGGTAAGTGATTGGAAGATATTTTTTTTCATTCCCTTTCAGGTCTGTCTTTTGCAAAGCGAAAGTTTAATTTTTCGATTTAAACTTAAAATTTCGATCAAGTCCACTGTAGCAGAAATTTTCATGAGTCATGCTTTGGTGTATGTATGAAATCTGCCTTCTCTGAAGTCAAAGATTTTCTCCTGTGTTTTCTTGGAGAAGTTTTATAATTTAAATTTAGATTTCTGATCCATTTTTATATAAGGTATGGTATAGGTTGAAGGTTGATGTTCATTTGTTTGCATGTGGTTGCGAATGTCCAGTTGTTGCAGCACCACTCACTGAAAGGACTATCCTTTCTCCATTGAATTATTTTTGCACTTTTGTAAAAAATTGGACTTTATATTGAATGGGTTTATTTTTGGATTATAATGTTTCGATAATACATGTGTCCATTATTTCAACAATACCACACTTGTCTTGATAACTCTTGCTTTATAGTAAGTCTTGAAATCAGGTAGCATGATTCATCTAACTTTGGGTATTCATGAAATTTTTAAAACAACATATTAGTGTTTTATGTATAGAAGTTGGTTATATTGATAAGTGAAGCTTTTAGTGTGTAAGAAATCCTTTGAGAATTTAAAAAACAGTAATTTTTTTTTTAAGATTTTATTTATTTATTTGACAGACAGAGATCACAAATAGGCAGAGAAGCAGGCAGAGAGAGAGAGGACGAAGCAGGCTCCCTGCTGAGCGGAAGCCCCATGCGGGGCTGGATCCCAGGACCCTGGGATCATGACCTGAGCCTAAGGCAGAGGAAAAAGCAGTAATTTTGATAAACTTAAAAATAGTTGAAAATTTCAGTAATAGAAACTAGATGCTGGAAATAGATAGGAAAATTGTAAGACTTAATATTTTGTTGTCTAATATCAGAAGGACCTATTGGTTTTAAATGTATGCTTTTGCTAGGTATGGTATCTGTAATAATCCAGCTAATTTCACTGTTAGCATATTAATAATGTTAATTAGTATTCAGAAGTTACATGGATGTTTTCAAATCTAAGAATGGGTAGTGTTCTGAAGATTTGTTTCTGAGACGATTTTTTGGAATTTGAAATCCATTTTTCCTTGGAAATATTGTTATATGAATGAAGAGTTTCTAAAAATTGATGTAATTACAATGTAGCAGAACAGTGGTAATATAGTGGGCCCTATAGGAAGTAGGCTATGTGCAGGAAGCCTTTATTTTGTGAGAGGGGAAGAGGAATTGAACTTTATCTCACACTCTTGGTGAATTTTGATATTGGTATCCTTTTTATGCACTGCTATTTACAATTCACCCCTTTTTATAAGTCATCTACTTAGAGAGGTAGTAGTGCTTCATAGATCGTGCTGAGATT